GAGTCAATTACCCATGAATTTTGACCTTCCATGGATTGAGAAATGCAAGTTGTGGATGTACTTGGGGATTGAGATGATTGGGCCAAGCTGTTAGACTTTAATCGCAGATACTCTTGATACTCTTCCTCAGTGAACTTGGAGTCGAAAGTGGGAGTTTCAGCCTTAGAGATATTGGCGGTTTTTGAAGGAAAACCATGCAAGGAGTAGCAGTTTTCTTGGGTGTGACCCACCCTCTTACAGTAAGTGCACTGTGGACGTCCCCGACCTCCACGTCCTCCTCCTCTAATGCCACGTCCTCCTCTTCCTCGCGTGGCAACCATGACAGATGGTTCCATTGTTTCATGAGCTTCCTGAGATTGAGGCACTGGAACACGAAGAAGACGTGTGGTCAAGGCTTCCAAGGAAGGGACCTCATGACTTGTCAGAAGTTGATCTCTGATATGATTCAAATCTGGATGTAAAGCACGGAGGACCATCACCATATAATACTTGTCAAGCTTCTTCTTGATGTCTTCCAAAGATTCCACTTCCAAGAACATTCTCAATTCTTCCACAGCTGCTTGGGCTTCAGTCACGAAGGAGACCATATCATGGTCTGTCATTTTGAGACATGCAAGCTTGTTTGTTGTATCATAGAGACGTTGAATATCATTAGCATAAATGCTTTGAGCTTTCTTCCAAAAAGAGTGACATGTTCTGAAGGCTCTAAGAGATATCAAAAGTCGAGGTTCCACATATTGCCACAATAGGGCACACAATTGGAAATCTGCTTGTTTCCATTGTTCAGCCTTTTCAGAAGGTACTTGGCTTCCATCCTGCTCAAGGTGGTCATAATGTCCTTGACCGAGGAACCACATTTCCACGGCAGCAGACCAAGACAGATAATTCTTTCCGTTTAGCTTTTCGAAAGTAATGGAGGGACTTCCAGAGAAAGAAAGAACACTTCCAGACGCAATTCTTGGTAATGAAAGAAAAAAACGCAGCAGTGAGGAACCAAAAACCGAGAGGGTTCCTTAGGGTTTTCTTCAAGGGGAGCTTCTGGACTTCACTGAAGTAGGGTTTTGAGGGTCAGAACAGAGAGAGGAGGTTCAGGTGACAACTATGGAGGAGTCGCGGTGACCTTCCGATGGGCAGAGGGCGGCACGTGAACAGTACGCGCCTGTTCGCAGCGCACAAAGAAGTGGTGCGTGGAGGAGAATCAGACTCCGGCACCGGTGGGCGTGGTCGTCGCATGAAGAGACGAACCTGATCCAGTGGTCGCCGGACGGAACAGTGACGGCGGACGGCGGTGGACGGCGGCGGACAGAGAATCAGACTCCGGCACCGGTGGGGGTGGTCGTCGCGTGAAGAGACGAACCAGATCCAGTGGTTGCCGGACGGACCAGTGACGGCGGACGGCGGACAGATGTGAGATGGCAGAGAACCAAGTTGAAGAACTTTAAACTGCAGTTGACAGCTGCATGTAGTGACAAGACAACCACGGACAACGGCAAAGGGCACCAGACATATGCGAACGACTGGTAGACAACCCAGGACAGAAACCAGAGCAGGGTGAACCTGCTCTGATACCAACTTGAGATTAAAAACTGATAAAAATATATTCTAAGGGCTTAATAGATCCCTCTCATTCTCTTCTATATATATTGAAAAAGCAAGAGTACATGGAACACCAAGAGTCTGCACAAGGCCTCTAGGTACAGAACTAGGTACTACTCATTACTGGTCTAACAGACTAGCCTTAATGATGATATAAAATAGTAATTATTCTAACAGAATCCATCCCTTCTACGGAAACCTCAATCCTGTCATTCAGAAAGAAAGAGCCAGAAAAAACCAAACATGCCACATTCCTTGACAACATGATAGCCAAACCATGTTTCCTTCTACCATATATAAGGTAAGATGCCACTTATGTAACAGGGCAAAAAACAGAAGAAAGAGAAACAGGCAATATGCACTTAGCATCTAGAATCAATTTATAAACCAATGTTTCTATTTTTTGTTTATTAAACAAGTTTTCAAACAAAAATGCAACCTCTAGAGAAGTCACAGCAACTAGAAAATTTCTGTAATAGTCATCCATTGTAACTTACATAAATGCAACCTTTGACAGCAGCACGGCGACAAAAGGCTTGTGGTAGTTCTCCTTCACCATAAATAGGATAAAGCAACGCACCAGGAGCATTAGGAAACCTGAGTGAAAAATTATAAGTATCTCAAAAACAAAAATTAAACAGCATCCATTAAATGAAAACAAAAAAAGGAAAATGTAATACATGAAAGTACAAGAATATGAAATACCTTCCAACAGATGAGCTGTATTGAGCTAAACAATCTATTCCAACTTTTGTTTTGAGCAAATCTTTATAAACCTCGTTACTGTCTTGATCATAATCTACCAGAGCTATAGCATACAAAAGTATCCTGTGGAAGATAAAAAGACTTTACCTTAGCGTACTTGAAGCAGGTCAACAGGTTATGCGTGCATTCTTTGAGTTGACATACTTTACTAAAAACCATCAATGAAATATGAATAAATAGTAGTTCTCTTCATCACAGGAGAAGATGATCAACTTCAGTTTTCCAAATGTAAAATAAGACTTCAAGCAGACAAACAAACTGAGCACTAAAGATTTCATGTGCTATTATCCAATGTCCAGATTTCACTTACATTGAGCATACAAATCAACAGCTTCATGGAGAGAGACAATAAATATAATCCAGACACTAATAAAGCATCACTGCATCTATTCCTAAGAAAACTATATCAAAACTGTACAAAAGAGTCTATTACATCATTCTTTAGTGTAAGCCACTTCGCTTGTGATTCAATGTTGATTTTCATATAGCAGAACACCTAAATTTCCCAGTACTATTTCCGCCTATGAATAACCATGAAACATAAAGGTACACGATATAATAACAAACAAGAAACTGCAGGCGGAGCAATAGTTTCTCCTACTTTCTTCCTGACTAGGGTTAAAAATGATAAAGAACCTGTGGTGAGTGTAATCTAGAAGTGAAGAAACTTTCATCTGCAGAATGGTGGTACTTATAGGCTAATAAAACACCTTTATCTACAGGTCTGAAGACGTACATTTTACAATAATGTACATACTTTTAATAATATCATACATAGCAACTTGAAAGTGCTGTAAATCAGACAGGACACACATAATGAAAGGCTAAATAAACAAATTGCTAAGCTGAAGAAATATGATTATGCCGTGCAGAAATGAATGAAAATCAAATCTCACTAGAAACAGAAATGGTGAATACGATTTTATCTTAGGCGGCAACTTCATTTTCTCCAAGAAATTAACAAAAGGAATCTCCATATCCTCCTCCGAAATTTTCTCCTCCTGATTATCATCCAAGTGCTGTTGAACCAACTTGAAGAACCTCATCAACTGGTTCTTCTCCTTCAGCGAAAGCTTCTTGTCTCTGAAAATCGCTCCGCGAGAATCCGGCACGTTCGCCAAACCCCCATTCGGTTCGTACACGAAGCTTTCATCGATTCCTTTGAACTCCAAATACTGCGCCGCGCCAGATTTCAACAGCAGATCGATCGTCCTGTCCGCGCTGAACAGCGCCCTCGGACCTCCCAAATCGATGTTGAATTTTCTCGAATTTTCGCAGAGGAACGAGTATTCATCGTAGCATGAGATTTCCACGTCGGAGCATATGGGTTGGTGGAGGAGATCGAGAACAACGTCTTCGGAGTCGGTGGTTGTGACGGCTGTGGGGAGAGGGTTGGGAGAAGTGAGGTAGGAAGTGAAGTCGAGGAAGGAAAGAGAGGCGAAGTGGCTGCCGTAAAAGGAGTTGGGATCGAGGTGGAGGATAGTTTTGCCGGCGGCAGATGCGGCGGCGGCGACGACGGATTCAGATAGGCCGGTGCCGACGATGATGAGATCGAAGTTGACGGGGTCTATGGGAGGGTAGGATAACGGGTCTTGGGATTCACTCATAGCGACTACGACGGCGCGTGCAGGTTAATTGCGTATGTGTCGTGCGAGAAAAAGTGGTTTAGTGTGTATCGTTTGAATTAGTACAAGAATGGTTTTAGTTTGACTGTGGTTGAGATCGCTAAGGTTTATGTTTATCCTTCGGTACATTAAGTTTTGTTTGAACATTATTTCGATATATTTTTGTTTTTAAATTTAAAAGGTATAATATTATTTTATAATTTATATTTAATTAATGTTATTTCTTGCGAAAATAATAAATCTATTTAAATAATCAATTTTTAAAACAATATTTCAGAAAATTACTGTATCGAAAATAGACTTCAGAAGTTCAAAGAAGAAAAGGTTTACATTTCCTATGTTAACAGCCCCAACTGTTATGTTTATATATTGGTACACTATAACTTCATGTTTAACGACTGTCATAATTAGTTAAACTATATCACTCAAGATATCATGCAAAAGTATTATTATATATGTATGAATAAAGGATTACAAACACATTCCAATCGGAGTGAACATCTATACACTAAAACAGACTGAAAAACCTACAAGCTACTTACAACCAAGTCAATGATCCAGCAGACTGGGAAGAGAAATACAAAACCAAATTTCTTACAATTGTGACATCTATTTAACGCAAACATCTTCATTCTACTTCAAAACCAAGATTTGAAGCAGCTCATGGTTCTTTTACTTTTAAGTGAAAACACTTTAAAAGGGATCCAAAAAGGTATTCTTTATTTGCTATAAGCTCGACGGACAAATCTGCAAACTCTAGCGGATACTACTAACCACGATATTATCCCAACCTGCAATGATAAAAAGACACCATTAGAAACAACTCTAAATTAAAAAAAAAATGAACTCTGCAGACGATTAGCTGAACTTAGTGGAGTGTGACTAAAGTATTACACTTGAATCCTTTAGTATGCGGAATGCTTTGGAGAATAGAAGATGGTAATGCTTAATGATTGAAAAATTAATGATTAATATCATAAATAATACTTAAATGTAATGTTTTTATAACTTCAACTATTAATTTGATATTTTTTATACTTTATTAGTTTTAAAATACATAGAAGATTTTTTTACACTACATACTTATAATGAGTGAAATCTTATAATCTTATAAATAGTGAAACGAATAAAATTAGTTCCCAACAATGAGGAGACTGTCTTATCACATTTTTTAGTAATTTGCTCCCTTTATTGAATCAATAAAATAGAATAAACAATACAATAACGTAATGATATCTTATTAATACACCAAATCACTAATTCCCTATTACTAAGATAGAATAGTTATAATATTTTACTACTAATAGACCCAAAAATGTTCTTGAATTCAAATGATATTCGAATTTTGCCAAAAAGTTTAGTCATTTTTCTGTTATCAAGAGTTCATTTCATACGTCGATTTTATGTTAACCGTAACTAAATATATTTAAAAAATAACTATTTTCTTTTACTATTTGGGTAAATAACTTCATTCAATAATTATTGGTAAATAACTTCATTCGATAATCATTGAATAAATTCTCATTAAGTAATCACTTATTATGACTCATTTTGTATAATATAAAATAAATAAATTTAAACTAATTGCATATAAATTGTCCTTTTTACCAAAAATATAAGCTCTAAACTAAATTCTTTTACAGGTTATTCTGGAAATTTAGCAAAACAACAGATAATCATATTACGATATTTCCCTGCATTATCCTAAACATATAAATACGTATTTAAATCGTAAGATAAGCTAAACAAGATTTTCAAAAAGTAATTTTGGGTAATCAACACAAAAAGCACCATTTTAAGCTTTAAAAACTAGTTTCTTTCAATTAAATACTAGGGCTAATAGTGGTAGTAACCGAACTCGGCACTGCAAAAATGATGGCAACGATGCACATTAAGAGACCTTACCAAGAGATACCTTTCCCAACCGAAAGATTCCTCAAAGTTAAATAAATAAAAGACAAAAAAAAATCACCAAGAAAGGGAAAAAGGTCCAAGCAATAGTTACCGGGACACTGTTACTTTGAACTCCTCCGGACTTCCAAGATAACCAGCTCCCTACAAAATATGTTCAGAAGTCAAAGCAAAATCTCCTTATTTCTCAAAAAAGAAATAGCAATTACGCTTACGAATATTTGTAGGCTCATCATTTGAATGGATTAGAAATTCAGAACTTAAAAATAAAAAGCTGATTTTTGTATCGCAAGCTAGAAAGTCTGCAGATCTTGTTCAAATGAGTGAAAGGGTTAATTATGCAACTTAGTAAAATTAAAGTATTATTCAATCATTATTGCATTACCAAATGGTTGCACAAGTTGCCGATGTACGCTAGCCACAGGAACACGCCAAAACCAGATAAGCAGCAATGCATATGTTAAATACTACATGTCAAAGCCAAAAATAAGTGTATTATAAATCTTTACCTAGAAATTCTGTTAACAAAAATTATATTCATATATACATACACATACATCTTAAGATACCTTAAATACGAGCACCACTTTTGAATATACAGCATAATCTTTGTGACTTGAATTTCGGTCTGCATAATATCTTGAACTATAACTTAACAAACTCGAAGGTAAGAAAATGAATTTAAACTAACTAAGCAATAAAGGTTTAAAATGTAGATGAAAACCATATTCGTGTGGGGGGAAATGTCATGAAGTAATATTTTTAGCACAAAAAATGTACAATGAAGAATGACAATCAGGTTGCCTAAACTTATGGCCTAACGTGTAGGAAATATAAGGATGTGATTCAAACTTTCTTTATAGGTACATAATACACACTCCTATAATACTTTTAATCACACTTGTTCTTCAATCACCACCAAATTTCATGATTAATTTTTTTTGCTATTGTTGTAGTTTTAAGGAGATTCTTACAAATCAGATTCTTCGCCAGAAGGTATATTCACTATTTACTACTAAAATAGAGATAACCTTGCATTGTTGATCGGTTCATCAACTTTGGTTTTATATGGTACTTGTAAAGACCACATAAACTGATACACATACAATTCTTGTCAATTTAAATTTGAACTTTGCAATGTGTTAGTCTACACTGTAGGAACAATAAACTAAATATTTCAGTTTCAGTCATACACTCATATCAGAAAGTAGAAAAAAAACTTTAGAATTGATTCTAATTCAATTGATACACACCAAGCAATGTGCTTTTATAAATAAATTCTCCTAATTAAACTATTACAAAACTCATTAGACTAAGTAAACTAAGAGAGGCATGGATTGGAAAGATGGAGCGATGATGGGATAAAAGTTGCGACTTAATTGCAGCTATATTAAACAGCTATGCAGTGCTGTCGGGAATTTTTTATTAATAAGAGAGATAACAATGATTGGTTTTTCTTAATTGCTCTTCATTGCACTATTGCACGGGATAAAATAGGATAAGTAAAAAACTTGCAACAAGAAATAAACTCACACTTTGAAAGTTCCTTCTCCTTGGCAGTTGCCATCCTTTTGAGTTTTGCTGCTTGTGCAAATGTTGATGGCCTGAGAGGATAAAGAGAGACACAAACCACACCATAAATTTTGCAATCATATCTTACAGTCATCTCCCTTTTCAGTGATTTGTATTCATGCATGCTACTTAACTTTTCTTCCTCCTATCCGCCTGATTTCTCTATTTGAATCTACCTCTAGTTTCATAGTTGTCATTGTCTTTCCTCCTTTGTTCAACTAGTTTAAATAATGCCAAGTATTTCTTACTATCTTTTTTCCAAATTGAAATGAACTTCAATATTTTAGTGAGTATCGATACTTCTCTGTCGAAGATCAATCAATTTTTCTCATTCCTTATTCTCTTTTATTTAGCATGTAATTTTACTGCCATAAATCTGTAACACTCGTCAAAATAGACTTTAAACAAATTTGTAGATTCATCCTTTAATTTCAAATTATCAACCCCAAAAACATTGCAAAATATTTTACCAATGCAAACGATAAAACCAACTCAAAACAGAAAAAGGGTTCCAAAAGAGAACCTCCTTTCTTTTCAGCACAGGAAACATTGTTATAAAGCCTTACTTACTGCGACATTAAACTTGCCTCCTTCAAAAGTCGTTTTATTTCTCCACGCAACTGAGCTTCTTTTTCTCTATCAGATCCACTCTGCTGGAAAATCATACGCCTAGATGTTAATGCCACAAGGTTTTGTTTCTCTTAACAATAAAGTATCTTATTTGGTAAAGTAACGAAACTTCAACATCAATCCATCCTTTGATTAGTTTATAACGAGAATGAACGGTATGCGACATTTGAATTTATAAGCTTAATCGAGAGAATGGGTATAACATTGTTTTTGTTTCAAATTTCAATTAAATAACAAAAATTAGAATGATACCTTGGCAACCTGATCGAGGCAATAGTATGCAAATTGAAAAGAAGCAACGATCAGAAATATGAGAGGTGCTGCCAATGACCCTTCACGTTCATGGCTTCCTTCGTCTTCCATAATTCACTCGCTTCCCTCGTTAGATTCCGATGCCTGCGTTCTGTTTTCTGATAGTTTCTTTTCTGCTTTCTGGTTCACCCGCGGGGAATACAAAAATGGGCCAACATATCGGCTTTTCCTGTATTGATTCGGCCATTAACTTTATTGGCTTTTCTTCATACAATCACATTATTACTAACTACACTCTCCCTACAAGAGAAAAATACTAGAGTGCCCCTCACTACACCACTCCACGACTGAAAAACTTCTTCTAAAAATTCTATTCCAAAATGTATTTAATGTATTCCAAAAATTTTATAATGGAAATTTTATTCTAAAAATTCTCTTTTGAAGATTATGTTTTGAAAAATTTACTCTCAAAGATTTATGAGACAGATAATCTTAAAGTAATTTTTGAGATAAAACAATCATTTTAAAAACTATAAGGTATAGTTAGAAATTCGGGGGTGAAAAAATCACTTGTTTTTTCATTTTGAATTCTGTGTAACTAATTTATGATTGAATAATAATAATATGGTTAAATATGTTTTTAGTTCCTAAACTATCAAGCGATTTTGGGTTTAGTCCTTCTTTCAAACTAAGGTACATTTTAGTCATCCTTCTTAAGTAAACTTTGATTTTAGTCCTCCAAACCCAACCGCGTTAAAAGAAGGTTGAGGTGGCTAACGGTGAAATTGTACGATTGTTTTTTTCTGACATTGAGTCCGTCTTTCTCAGCTTTTCTCTCTCCCTCTCCCTCGTCTCCTCCCATTGAGTTAGTATTTTCCACCGTCACCTCTCTCTCTTCAACTCCTCTTTCTCTCTCATTCCTCCAAATCCATTCCAATTCTCACTCTCATGGGTTGAAGAAACCTTGAAAAGTCACAATCTCATGTTTGTTCTTAATGAAAAGGTTTAATTACCATGTCTTCTTAATGAAAAGGTTTAATTACCATGTCTGACTACAATAGACTCCTGTATCTGTTTTATACATAAAAAAAAAACACAACAGAAATAATTAAGAAATAAATGGTAAAAATATTACCTGGTTGAAAATAAAGCAGTATTCTTCCCTGCTTCATTATTTCATTATTTTTAATTCTTCAATTTTTAAATTGAACAGTGTTTTTAAAATTATTATCTACCAACTAAATATATTTATCGGAATAAATTTCTTAAAATTAACATTTCCTATTAATAGAATATTATTTCTATCAAAAGCTAGAAACATATAAACATACTCGTTTCCACACCTTTGATATGTTATCCCCATATGCTTGGCCTTTTTTCTAAATTACTATTAAATATAAGAGATATCTTTGGAGAGAACATCAGCTGAAGCTCTATCGTTGCTCTATCAACCTTTGAGCTTCATGAAAATGTCACGGGTTAGTCTGTCTTTGTGTTCAGCATGTTAGTTTGGTATCCCAATCCCATCCATCCATATAGGAATGAACTATTTGAAACTGAATTGCGTGCAAGTTTTTGTTGTGGAAGCATTTTGTTATGAGGTGATAATTTTACCTTGTCATTTTAAGAACTAATGACGTGCGCATTCATTTGAGTGGTGGTGGTTTAATTGTTGCTCGTAGTTGAAGCATGGGTTACTAGACATTTTGGTTTATTCACGGTCTTAGATTCTTAATGCCAATTTTACACAGATCATTAAAGTGCATTATGTTGGTATCTGAAATTATTCCATGTGTTTCATTATCTAGGAGTCAGTACCCATTCAAGTGTAGCATGGTGTTTCTGGAATTCAATATCCTGATAGCTATCAACAACCGTTACAGCGTCAATGACCTTTTTGCAGAGGGTGGGGAGGTTGGGTAGAAGATGGAAGGAAGAGACGAGGGAGAGAGAGGGAGAAAAGGTGAGAAATACGGACTCAAAAGAAAATCATGTCAGTCTACCGTTAGCCACGTCAGCTGGTTTTTAACGGTGTTAATTTTGGAGGACTAAAATCAAAGTTTCCTTAAGGAGGAGTACTAAAATGTACCTTATTTTGAAAGAGGGACTAAAACCAAAATCGCGTGATAGTATAGGGACTAAAAACATATTTAACCCATAATAATAATAATAATAATAATAATAATAATAATAATAATATAACAAAGATTTGTCACTATTTTCATTAAATTTATCTAAAATTGTAAACAATTACTGGAATTGATTTCAATATTTAAATTTTATAAAGAATTTGAACATGGAATTATTGTTTACTTTTGATAATTTTAACCATGAGGATGATTTGGAGAGACAAAAACATGTGTGTCTCATCCCAGTCCCAGATAGATAGAAAATATAATAGGCAGAAACAGAAAGAAACCATGGCTGGTACCGGAAAATGCTTCCTCGTCACGGGTCCTCCGGTGAGAAACCCAACTCCGCCATTTTTTTCCCTCTCTTCATTCTCTGCTAATCGGTTTCGATTTGTTTGATTGATTTATCAGGGTGTGGGAAAAAGCACTCTGATCATGAGAGTGTTGGAGTCCCTCAGACTCAATTCCTCCATCAAGCTTCAGGGCTTCTACACTCGTACGTAAGCATTTGATATGATCCCTTCCTCTTCTTTCACTGTAACATATGACATGATATGATGGTTTTGTAGGGGAAGTTAGGCGCGCGGGTCAAAGGGTTGGTTTCGAAGTGGTCACTCTTGATGGTCGCACTGCCCCACTTGCGTCCCTCCACTTTTCAAGGTACAGTTTTTATTCTTCCTCTTCTTAGCTCCACAACATTAGCATCCCATCTTTCTTTCTTTTTTTGTCTGTGGACCCATTATTTCGAAATTTGTGTTTCTTGGTCACGCTGCTGCTGGGTCTTCGTTCATTTTTGAAGGAAAGGTTTTCGTGTGAAGATGAGGGCTAACAAAAAATGCATCCTTAGTACACCCTTTCTACTAGCAGACTCTCTTGATGTTTAAAATTTGTTGAAAACTGTAGCATCTGCAAGAATCCGTGAAATACATTTTAAGGTGTAACTAATATTATGTTCTAGAGAGTATGTTATTAGATTCTTTTTCTTAATCCTACTTGAACTAACATAACACGGAATTGACTAGATTGTCCAGTATTTGTCACTATACAACTCTGTCTATATGATTCAATGGTTTTCTTTGATGGCATTGGATTTCCAGCCCTGAGTCTGTCGGATGGCCTAGTGTTGGCAAGTATAAAGTTGATGTAGCATCTTTCGAGTCACTAGCACTGCCCGAGTTACAGGTATGCTTACTTTCTTTAATATCTTTTCGGTGTGCATTTTTTTTTCTTTGCAGCAGATTAGGTTACTGGATATTTTGCCAACTATACGACCATTCTTATGTGTATCTTCCAATTGTGGTATAATACTCATCAACTGTTCTCTTGCATTTTTAAACTATTGGTGTTGAATGTATTATTTCCCCATATCCCATGTATTATATCAGTTTTTGAGCTTTTAAGACTTGCATTCAATGACTAGGTTAGAGAAGACACCAGCCTCTTCATCATTGACGAAGTTGGTAAGATGGAGTTATTCAGTTCGTCATTTTTCCCTGCAGTTCTAAGAGTTTTGGAGTCAAATATCCCAGTTTTGGCTTCAATTCCAATTCCAAAATTTGGCAGAGACATACCAGAAGGTAATCTTTTTTCCATATTTTCAAGTCCCCATTTCTCAAACAGTATCTTGTTTCTTTCTGAACAGTACTAGGAACAGATTTCCTTTGTTTGATTCTTAAAATAAGCAAGATAGGGTAAAACCTGTCACTAGGTATTATAGGCATGAAGCTCAAAGATCTGTAAGATATAGACGAGGATTTGTTGCAATTCTCTGCCTAATTTTCTTTGCTGAACTTGTGAATGACTGATGTTGTCAATTTCTGAAGTTGCAAGGTTGAGGAATCATGCAGGGGCAACTTGTTTTACATTGAACGTTGGTAACAGAGATGCTGTCAGAGAACAGATACGATCACTATTGGAAGATCTGTTGATTAAACACTAGTCATTGCAAGTTTGTGGTCTGAACTCAACATGTAGATTTTCAGTTTCAAATCAATTATGATGGGTTAGCACTATTAAGTGTAGGGGAAAAAATTGCAATTCTTAGTTGAGTCTTAAATAAGTTGGTGGTGAGTTAGTTAAGCCTTAACCAAGGCATGGAGGAGGTATTTAGTGGTTTGAGATTTACTAGAGTTATGCATGACTTACCTTGATGTTTTTTTGTAACGACCCATCCATATGTGACTATATAATGAATAAATTAGATGACTTATCTTCAGTTTTGCCACCTCTTGACTGTATTGCGGACAATTTCTTTCCCGGGTAAAGATAGTGAAAGTCAATCTAAATCCATTTAATACATGATCAGTCTAACAGAAAAGTATTCGGATAGCATAAAAGTGCTGCTCTCACTGTAAAATGAAGCATGAACTCAATATAATGGTGAGCAAACTGTCGTAAAAAAATTTAATATATATATATATATATATATATATATATATATATATATATATATATGTATGTATGTATGTGTAATTAAAAAAATAAATAATGTATGACCTAAGTATAATCGAATAACTAATAGATCTTGTCAACTTTGTCTATCCTGCTCAGCAGTTCGGAGCACTTGTTTTGCCAATGATGAAAATGATTTTGCTGTATCTTGCATCTCTCTGGAACGAAGGTTGGTACCCTGCCACCAAGTAAGAAGATGAGTAAACAAATATTGAGATCTAGATTCTTTTCCCAAATTTTCTTGGGTGCATTGGCTTAGGACTAAGGAATTCTAACTGTTTTATTGTTTTTTGTCAAGGTAAAAGATACCTGCAATTTCCATGTGTTTTCATGAAGCTTGATTTGTGCCTGTTTAGCAGCGGTTGTTTCCTGTAGCACCAGATTAATGTTTGATTAATTTTGCACTCATATTTGAGCATTAAGAAAAACGAAGCTTTAAAATATACGGAGAAACTGCCTAATTATGCAATGATCAAAATTGCATGTATCGAGAAACCTTCTGTTGAAACTAAAGAATGTATTGTGTCTGTGGGCCATTAGGCCCCCTAAAATTTTGATAAAAATATAACTTACAATATTCAATTATGTAATAAGCTATTGATCGAGTGGGCAACGACAGCAACGCACTAGGGTTTCGAATCAAGCAACCATTCGGCTAGGCATCAAAGATGACCAAACAGTCATAAACGTTCAAACATTTAAGTATTACCCATAATCAAGTTTGTACGTTTAAGTATGTTTGACAGATATTGAGTCATGATTATGTTTATACTAATTATAAGTACATTTCAAAACCTATAAATACAAGTCTGAGACAAAAAGGTAAATAATTGCATTTATTGTTAATTTAAAATTTTACTGAGAGGCTTAAAAAAACTTGATAATCAAAACTCAAGACAACCGTTAGGAGGTTTAGAGAGAAGTGCGAATAAGTGTTTTAATTGTCATCTCTAATCCACACCCGAAACAAATGACTTCATTGATAAATTTTTTATTAAGCATGCAGGATCAAACGATGTTCATAATAACCAAAGATGGTCTCAAAATTTAAACGAAGGTGTCATACTAGAAACCTCTGTAACACTCAAATTTGAGACTATTTTGAAGTATTTACATTGTTTAGCGTACGAGAGTTTACAATGCTTTTACAATGAAGATTTAAAACTTTTCCCAAATCCCAGAACTTCAAGTTACAAAAGTGCTGGAAGATAACTACTCTCTCAACTTTTAGCATTCAAGTTGAAGATTTTATCAAATCTATATACTGCGCATAAGAAGTAATGACGAATATTAATTCAGTTTGATTCTTGAAACTATAATCCACTGCTGTTGGGCCCGTCTTACTAGATTGAAATTTGCAACTGATTAGAAATCTCTAATTGGTAGGTAATAAATTGTAGATTAAAGGTTCTGGTAATGATTAATCTCGACCCTCCAACTACCGCTTACACTAATAAATGCACTTAACACCTCCAAATAAGAAATTAATAATAGGGTCTAGACAAAACACCTTTTACTAGCAAATCAGCACACATATCATGCGATGCTTGTGAATTGTTTTGGCAGAAAGTCAAGCATAATTAGAATGCATATGATGATTATATTCTTACATTGGAAGAAGAAGAAAATCCATATTTCTTCTTAATTTGATCCAGCGCACCATCTTTTTCCTCCTGGTGCCCTTCCTTATCTGATGCCTTCTGGTAGTTTCCCTTCATTTCTTTCAACCTTCCTGTATATTGAATGCTCGATTAAATTGGCTAGCGATAATGAAATCGTCGTAGTAATCTTTCAAGATGCCTAAAATGTAACTCATTGTCACAAACCTTTCAGAGACTGAAATTTTCCAACCAATTTCTTCTTATTAAGAGCTCCTAATATGCTTTGTTCTTTGCGTTTTTCTTCATGATCCTCTAAGTCAATGTCATCTGCAAGGGAAGAAAAGAGACACCTCAAATTGGTTACTTTAAACTCGAGGATCCGTATGTTAGAAAGTACTCAGTACTGTCTTAGGAATCAAATTAATCTAGTAATGTAATTTAGTCATGTTTGTAACATACAGCTTTTAGGCAAGCAGATTCAGATCACCAATAAAAAAAGACAACGTGAGTTTATTGGCATAAAAGAGTTTCATCTTTCTTTTAAGCAAATATTTAGTAGCACATATATGTTACATTGTTATACCTATGTTTAATTCAAGCTCACTTTCATCCACTGTTGGTTTATCATCATTATCGTAACATGCAAAGTTCGCATTTGAGAATACTGCTGAGAGTTCCCGTATGTTTTCTTTGGGATCTTCTTTACCCATGAGGGGTCCATGCTTTTCTTTACTACTTGTAAAATCTTTTATAACGAAGCTGAATATACCCTGGAATGCCGGAAATAAGTATCAAATACCTTCAGTCATAAATACAGTTGTGTTAGTTATTAAAATGCTACTGTTTACCTTTTTCTTTTCCTTATCGATTACAGGGCTAGGACCATGCTCTTCTTCTGATAGCATTCTTTCCTTTCTGTAGACGCAGCTAACAGAGTCCAAAAGCCTAAAACAAAGTCGTGCATTATGCACTATGAGACTAATATCTACCAGTTCTAAAGAGAAATGGTAAAGAAGATAAAAGGCTATAGCCAGACAGAAGTTATATGTGGTTATTGGTAAATATTTATAACATTCAAAATGCCATTGTCTAGGATATATACCTGAAAATATTCCTCTGGGCCAACAATGAGACAACAAAAATTTCCTGATCACCATTCACCTGTACACTGACATTGAGTTAAACAGATGTCTAAAATGTATGTTAATAAAAACCCGATGTACTAGTCAAAGATACAGTCATACCAAAACAAGATCTCCTTTGCGTGAACAACATATCTGGCTATCAGAATATGATTTCAATTTTGGTGGTGAATAAGTGAAACCTCTAATTGAAGTCTCCGCTATCAGAGATAAAGCTGGCAAAGACCTAAGATAGTTGCATATGTGTTGTTAATTCACTGATAAAAATAGAATGTTACATGAAGTTGACATGATGGGAGACTATTAAGAAGATTTAAGATGTATGAGATTGCTCGAAAACATTAGCCAAGATTCAGCATTAAAATATGATAGAATCCACAAAGCCAAACCCACTTGGTGCACTTAGTGGGAATAAGGGTTGGTTATAGAATTTTTCTTACAGAAGAAAATCCTAAAAATGGGAATTGAATTTTAGCACTAAATAGTTGGTAAGTCTTATCCCATGTGATATACCCATCAATTCTTCTAAAAAGTATATGCAGACTTAACCACCACCTTAATTCCACTTTCCCATTGGTGAAAAGGAGAAGAAGACTGATATCAGAGAGGTTGTAAATTGTTGATGCCCAGCAACAGGAAGAGGAATGAAATTTCTTCTTGTAAAGCACCTTTTTAACTCCCTGAAAAACGTATGAGAGTGAGTAAGTAACTGCGACCATCATCAAATACTTGGGTCATTCATAACTCATGAGTAGGGACAGAAGTAAAGAACATGTCACCTGTACAACATGCACAAAAGAATAGACATACAAAGCTTTCTCAGAACACAGCAAAATGTACAATTGCTTTGCTGTTGCATCATCAGTACGATTCCCTTCTCTTGAGTCTAAGCCATCTTTTGTAACCGATCCTGTGATTGGTTCTCCTACTCCATCTGTATTACATAGTACAAAGTTTTACTCTTCTTTTTTTTAATCAGATCATTCACTGCTATTTTGGATCATTGATAACTTAAATCGACGTACTGTGACATCTGATCATTGTTTCAAGTGTGCAAACCCTTACCCAACACTTGCATATATATGGCTTTAGAGGGCTTCTTAGGGTGAATAGCTTCAGTGTTGAATGGATTTCC